GTAAGTTTTGGTTGACCGTAAGGTAGGGTCCAACAATACGAAGCGTGAAGTTTTGTTTGGAAATTTAAGGCCGGAATGGATATTGTAGCAGGTTAAACTCCTGCTTGTGAAAGCACCCTACAAGAAATCAATTACCTCTTCACATACCTCCTTAAACCCACCTTAGTTAACTCCGCATTTCATTTGGACCTACCTAGTCGAAAAAGCAAATTTAATGGGCCTTCCGTTACTTGCGCTTGACTACAACGATTGATACACTAGCCGATTTAGTTGGGGCTTGGAAGTGCCGCTACAACATTTATAATCATATATCACTATTTTTTACCTGTTTCTCGTTGGCTTCACTCTCGAAACTCTTCGTATACTCCGTTTTAGGTGCATTATCGAATATGCAATGATAATGATCGAGTATGCGATCCATCGAGGACAATGTCTGCCTTTGCTCAGCGTCAACAGTCAAAATGTTGATGGGCAATTTTACATTGCAAGTCCAAAAACTTCGTGCCATGCCTTCAGCGACAAAATATAGTTGCCCGGCATTCGGCGACTTTAGCTCCACTATATTACTTATGGAATGTCGCTTACTAGTCGAGGGTTGTTCTATGGGCTCCCGTTTGGGTTTCATCAAAACAGCTACGACATTTTCAAAGAATCCAAAGAGGGAGTCGTAAATGTAATACGGTATGCGTAAGGAGAGCAAACGACGCTGATAATGTGCCGACAGCGAATATGCTGGACTTGTTAGTTGACTAGGCAGCAGTTCTAGAATCCTGCGTTTATTTGCCACAATCAGGGCACCATTACGCGCTATCTTGAAGGCATTTTGCAGTATTTCTTCCGAGAATTTTTTAAAAATCTCAAAAGCTTGCGCCGTGTAAGTGGTCTTGTCCAGCGCCGAGCAAAGTGAGCTATGCAGTACACCAACTGCAAGCATTGTTAGCGCTTCTTGTTCATTGCATGGATTTTGGTATTTCATAATCCTTTCATCCGTTGCTGCGGACCGCATACTAAAGCGGCGCTTGAATTCGTCAAGAGTGTCGGGTATCATAAATCGTGGTCTCATAGCATCTGAAGTTCCCTTACCTCTAATATTGTTCACCATTTGATACAAATAATGAAAGATCTGTATGAAGTGCACGGCTAAAGCGTCGCTGTATTCCTCGCGCTGTGGATAGATATTTTTCAATTGTTGCAGAAAGTTTTCCCCGTAACGCCGGTGTATTTCGACGCTTGTTTGTAAGATATGCACCCAAGTGGGAACTTCGGGAATATGTCGATCCTTTTTCATGATATATTGCATGCGGCGATGGCACGCTTGCGACGTTTTGTTGCGTATACCCAGATGTTGTCTGATAACGTCTCGACAAATTTTACCAACTACCATGAGCCCCAAAACCGGTACAGGCGCAGCTATATAGATGTACACGGCGCGTGCTAGCTTCAGTAAATCATCCTCGTCCTTGGTCCAGCAGGCGCGTAGAGTACGCATATTCTTCAGCGCATCGCGATCAGTGGCGTCCCGAATAGAGGCAGACTTCTTTTTCGTAGTGCGTTTTACTGTAGCCGAATGTGACAGTCGCGTGATTTGCGATGCGTGCATGCGTGTCTTACGTAAACCCATGAGACGCAGGTGTTTGCTGCTGGCACCACGCAACAACGCTGCACGTCCACTGCGTATTTGCTTCGGTTTGGTGTTCGTATGCAATACCCATGACCAACCGCGCATGGTGTGCGCAAATAATTGAGCAGCAAGACCAGCTGCACCTGCGCGGTCACCCGGCACGTCGCCATTATCATATTGAGGGGCTTCGTCAAAGCCTACACTACGCACAAATTGTAGAAGCTTAGCCCTTTCAGATTTCCCTTGAAGTTTGGCACTACGAACACCGAGTTTGGTGTAAATGCAAATACGATGTAGCTGGTTCCAGTATTGAGCAATATCTTCGAATGTTGAAAAATAGAAATCTAGCTTTTCATACTTCTGGGCTAAATTGACCTTGGCATAGCTCGCTTCTGATGGTGTGGTATCGATGATTTGTGCAAGTCGATTCAAATATACCCATATCTGCATTGAATCTTTGAAATTAGTGTTTTCATTAACCTGTATTAACCCCATGTGATTCAATAATTTAAGTACCAAGCTACAAATGCGCTGAAGATACGTGCGATTAATTTGATTTTGTAATTCAACTGGTAACTGACGCAGCAAGTAGTGCTGGCGCACAGGATGTGTTAGATATTCACCTAGCATATCGCCATCTGTTTGCTGAAATCTAAATATTTTATTAAAAATTGACAGCGGCATCCGGTCAATGGCGTCCAAAAAGTATACCCAGCCAGCAGGTTTGTCTGCATAATTCGGTAAAGGTGTTATGAATGCGCGCCAGCTAATCTGCTGCGTGTACGCATGCTGCACTTCACCTCCAGCATGCAAACTTTCTAAAAACTGATTAATTTGCAATGCAGGCTCAGATTCTTTCCAAATTTGCAGCAACGTCTCGTCTATTTCCAACATATTTTGATGTTCGTTCAACTCCACTACGATATAAAAAAGAAATTCGTGCATATAACGTGATATGAGAAACTTTGGAGGTTTAGGCAGATTGTTATTAGTCATATGTTCGGGGGTAGATTCCATCTTTGTGGGCTTGACCTCAGCAACAGCTTTGTGAGGCTTTTTGGAAACTTTCCGAGAAATACGTAGCCGATTCCGGTTTTTTTGCTCCTCACGCTCTCTCGCTATTAATAGCTTATTTTTTAAGCGCTTAACTTCGCGCTGAATCAACATGTGATTTGCATCTACTGCAGGATGGGCTGCATAACGGTAAATGCGCAAGTGCCCTTGATATTTAAGCACGACTTTATATATGTTTAAATTGTCGGTTTTATGAAGTTCCTCAAGCAGTCGTCGCATGGACTTAGCACATATCTCATCTGTTAATCCTTGTTCTTTCTCAAATGTATACAATCTGTGGCGTATTATGACCATTTGTAAGACTGCATGCTCGTTTAGCTGGCGAACTATAAAATCACGACGCGACTGTTGACGCTGTGTATGAATCACGCGAAATTGCTTGTCTTCGTACTTGTCTTCTTCCACATTGGCTTCGATTTGTGGGCAATCGACAGTGAATGTGTCTTCAAGCTGGGTTATAGACTGGAGAAGAACTGAATATTAAGTACAAAATTTAGCAAAACATAAATTTGTCCTACCGGTAGCTCATTGAACTTTATAATTGCAGTTGGTTCTGAATAATTTTCCGTTTTAGTAGCTTTCTCTGCATTTGCTACTTCCAAAGCCACGAACCTAAAGATTAAAAGATGTAATTTAATGAATCCTTGAGTGCTTATTATTATGCGTTACCTATAAACTCTTTGCCGCCCTTCATCTACGGCATGCGTTACTATCAGTCCTTCACGCTGCATACACTTAACCATTTGCCGTATTATGGAGTGTGATTCACTGAGGTAACTGGCGAGTTCTGTATGACTGCAACCGCGAGCACCATGTCGTAAAACTGCGCGATAAAATTCCTCTTTGATTGTCATATCTACAAAAGCATGCTTATTGTCAACATAAGCATCCGAGAAGTTGTTTTCGTCTTCTTTTTGCTCGTCCAAAAAGTCAGCAATAAGTTCGTTAACAGGTTTTTCAGAGTTTTTTAAAGTGATCGAAAGGACATTAAGATCCTTTCCTTTATTAGTTTTTCGTCCCACACCTACCTTCTACAAAACGGTTGATAAAATTCATTAATTGGTTGTCGTCGTCGACAGTATTTTTTGTCGCATCTTGTAACTACTACATGGAAACATTACACTCACCTGCAGCTCGAAAATGTGCTGAAAAAATGGTGTTAATGCGAGACGGCGAAATGCCGATTTACGTGCAAATGATGGAACCGCTTTACGCAACTGCACCAACGGAAGGTATTCCCCAGGGGCTTCTTTAACCAAAGTATAAATTTTTTCCAGAAGATTTGTTATATTACGTGGTATTTCCGGTACATACTGCGAGAGATTGAGTAAGGCTGTATTACAGAGGCGATCATCGCGATATTCATGGAATGGTTGTTGTACTATCAACCCATAGTAAATTAATTTATTCCTAAAGATAGTTGGTTACATTATAAAGGATGATTATTTTTGTAAATGGTGTAGTAGATTACTTAATATAAAATAGCACAGAGGAATCTTTGCACATCGTAAGGAGAGATTGAGGTCCAGATGTTGTTTCGCCATTATACCGTGACCGACCAATTGCTTCCCAAAAGCAGTATTGTGTTACCGTGAAATCCCGCGGAATCGGTTTGTTTCTGGGTGTAAGAACGCAAAGGCGTAAATTTTGTGAAGCTACTATAACAAAGCGATTACCCCAGCTAAGTGCAGAAGTGGAATGTTAATGGAGGTTATATTTAAAAAAAAAAAGATACTCACTGGTCAAATACAGATTCAGCGCTCAAATCATTGACTTCAGTGGCTTCAATACGTTTTCTCTCCTTATAGAATTCACAGGAACCTTGAATTTTGCCATCCTCAATTGGGACAAACTTGTACCGCGGAAATTTTTCAGGATCCTGTTCAGTCAAATAAGTTAATTAATTGCATATATAATTGCATGTTTATATATTTCGTACCAAAGCACGCGGCACTCCAAAATCAGGATCTTCGTAGGTGAAACGACATTCTAATGGAAATGTTGCTCTCTCAGTAGGTAATTCATAAAAATCTAATTGATGAGTATTGCGCTTTATGAAATCCCACACACGATTCAGCACATCTGAAGGTAATGGAATCGGTGCTTCTAAATCTAAACTTAAGTAAGCCCAGAGTACTGAAAGCATCACACAACTGTTAAGCATAATGACGAAAAAAATTCAAAAGTCAACTTTACATGAAAGTGTCATTCCTTCCAATCCCTCCAAAGCAATTTCTTCCAATATAATCTGGGAAACTGGACTGCGTCTAATTGGACGAATCATTTTCGCCTTCAGCTTCTCTATATAGACCAATTGACTATGATGCCTTGTGTGAATTAAACCATCTCTGGGATCACGCTGTGCGTAATAAAATAGGTTAGCGATTAAGAAGCGGACCTGTTTTAACCGCAGTTAATTGAGACCGGATGGTATCGAAGTGTATTCCGCGTCACTTAGTTTATATGTGTACTGCTCCAAATTGTTAAAAAATTATTTTTCCCCCATAAACAAAGGCAAAAACAAGTGTTTACAAACTAGTAGGAATGTCAGTAAAATATCGGTGCATCGAAAATATCGATGTTTTGTTTCGATGCACCGACAATTTTCAACTCAATATATAAATAACCGATGCATAAGCTTTACTTAAGTTCTGGGCTTTAATTAGCTCAATTACAGTGCCTAATTAATTTTAAATTTTGTAAAATTTTGCGATAGCATGCGTATTTTTTGGGAAGTAATATTTGAAAAATTATATTCGAATCGGTGCACCGAGATGTATCGAAAAATATCGATATTTTTTTAATATTTTGATACGTCGAGTCAAGAAAGTATATCGATGTACTTTTGCCACTGAAATCCCCATGAACCATAGCTGTGTATAATAACTTCTCTAGTAGAAAATTGCAGCGAGAGCGTAAAAGCAAAATAGAGCGTGAAATTGAGATAAAGTTATTAAACACAAAATTAGTAAAAACTTGCAAGTGAATAGTTATTGCACTCTTTTGACATCCTGCTGTAAATATTTTACTATTTATAAATCAGTTTTACCCCCTTTGCATTATACACAAGCACTTACACAGTCCAGTAAATCATTAATATTTTGATTTCCATTCTTTTTACTTTTGTTCATGCTTAACCAATTCAACAAATGGCGGCTTTTGACATTTGTTCTTCTTCTTCTGCTAGCTAATTTCTGTTAGTAAAAAATTCGATAGCAAGAATTTGCAGCTGGGATGAAGCGGGCTGCAACAGCAGTAACAACCCTGCGAACTTTACGTTCACCTACGTGAACGTCGGTTGGTATGGGTAGTGCAGCGAAGGAGAAGTTGACATAGGTCCGGTGATCCGCGGAAGCAAAGTCGGCTGGTTTATCAATCGACATGATTATAGGCAGATGGTCTGATGCTAAAGTCAGCATAGGTCGCCATGATACGCTGTTTATCAGACCAGCGCTGACTATTGTTAGGTCTGGCGAACTGCAGCAGCTCCCCATAACCCTGGTGGATGCGTCGTCGTTCATTGTGCAGAATGTCAGATCGTCTATCTGCTCAGCCAATTGTGTTCCCTACGATCGTTTGATAGTCACCAACTATCATGCGGTTTTCACCTCTGAGGAGCGCACCTATTTCAGGATGATATCCTGCCGGGCAGCTGGTGGCAGGGGGTATATATATGTTAAATATTTCGAGCTCGACATCGCCTGACCGGATAGCAATTCCCTGACTTTCTAGGATGGTATCCCTGCAGTCGATGTCTGCTTCGATAGGACGATACTGCACGGTGTGGTGCATGATGAACGCTAGGCCTCCACCATTATCTGGCTCGCGATCTCGGCGGTGCACGTTGTATCCGGCGCAATTCAACAGTACATATTGAATTGCCGTGCAGCTTCGTCTCTTGGACCGCAGCTATTAATATTCCGTGCCGACCGTTATCTCCTCGATCTTGCTCTGAAGTCCGTTACAGTTGAATTGTAAAATCTTCGTGTGCCTAGTGATGTGTGTTGTGTTGCCGTGCCGCCACATGCTGTGCCTGCTGCTGCTGAGACTGCTGCCCTGTGGTGTTAGTGGGCGGCGTCGCAGTTGGGGGTTGCGACCGAGCGGCACGGCATGGACCCTCATAGTCCCTCGTCCAATCTCGCGTGGTGCACAGTCTTGAGCATGCCCTAAAGTGACACCAGCCAAGGCAGTTGTATCTGAAGTGTGGTCTGTTGTGTCTGTGGTATTGTCTATTGTATTGTGTTGTTGTGCGGTTGTGTTTGTGTTGTGCCGTGGAGGCAGCTCGATTGGCGCAGCAAGGAGCCACATACGCAGTAGTTCATTGCATGTGAGTCGTGAGGCCTGAGCAAACTCGGAGATGGCTCCACCCATTGCACGTATTGCATCTGACGGAGGTGGAGTTGTGGTGTAATCGTCTCTGGTACACGCAGCAGGGGTTAGATCGCCGAAACAACAGCCCTTGGTCGGGTAAAACCCGAGTCTTCCGGTACGTAAAAACGGCTGTCATGGGAAAAACTTTTGTCGCGGCAACTCGTTACTTGTAGGAGAAGGGGAGACGAGGAAGGGGGAAGGGCACCGAGTGGCTCGTGCTCGGGCAACATGCTTTGTGCTTTCGTTCGTCTGAGTAATTCTAGTTGTCCGTTCACAGCTGACAACAACAATTGTGTACAAAAGAATTTCTCTGTGTGAACGCGAAGGGCAACACCAAAAAAGAAATTGCCGAAAATGAGCAACAAAAGTTTCTCTCTGTGTGAACCTAGTCTAAGGTTGCAGACAGAGTGGAAGCGAAGCCGAAGATGAAGATGAAGACGGCTCCGAAGACGAATTGTTTGCGTTGCGGCCAAGCTGGCGAATGTACATACTGGAAGATGAATGATATGAGGATTGGTTTCTAAATAAAACCTTTTTTTAAATGAAATCAAAAGAAAATAAAGAAAAAACAGCAATTCATGAAATAATTTGTATAGGACAACTTTTGGAGAATTTCGCCATTTCTATTATGTGTTACGACAAAGGACAGACATTATTCGAATATACAAGAATGCCAATTTATACGTTTGATTACATTTTGCCAAAAATTTAGCCAATTTCTTGAAAAACGCGTTTTTCACAATTGCAAACAGTTAAATAAATTGTAAACAACTCATCACAGCAAGCGATTCGTCTTTGAAAACAGTACCGCACAGTTTCAAGCTGACCGGTTGCGCAACGTCTTCACCTTCGTCTTCGTTTGCACTGTGATCACTTTCACATGTTTACTACTGCACTGTTTTTCGCCTTCGGCTTCGTCTTCATCTTCGGCTTCGCTTCCACTCTGTCTGCAACCTAAGAGTAAAAGCCAGCGGTACCTGCTTCATCTTATGAGACAGAAGCAGGGCAGATATAATACGATGTTTCCACGCTTCGTAATTCGCTCTCCCATTCGTCATTCGTCTTGCCAATTACCTTCCGAATTACGTAATTCGCCATACAAAATTTTGTATTTGTAACATTGATCTCAGCTCGATTGGTGAAATCTTATATTCTATCATTCTTGTTTAATAATTATCAATTATTCGTCTCATTGGGTTCCAGAAATTGGATTTAATTTTTTCAGTGTTCTACACGATGTATTTTAAATATTTCAGTGTTGCAGCATCATATTTAATAGGTTGAATAACAAGTATATTTTATTTAAAATATCTCTTACGTTCGATTTCTTTTAAGTGATTCCATGTTTATTTGTATAACATTTTGTTGAAGCTGTACTTAAACGGTACACTAGATACTTAAAATTCACATATTTTATTTGTCCATTTGTATATATTTTCGTAACTTTTAACTCGATCGGTCCCGCGACCGTACACTGAAGGAGCGCTTTTGCGACTGATTGCAAATTCTTGCTGACTAAAATTTGTCCAGCGAGAATTTGCAACTTCTCTCCAGGAGAACTGTCAATTTGCGCTCAGTTTTTGAGTGATGGATAATTTTTTTGATCTCAACGAACGCGATTTGAGCAAAAATTATAATTCGTACAAATTTTTTACTCGACGAACAAACCTAGTGTTGCCAACCGAATGTACTTACATTTTTAATTCATTCACAATCATCACATGCCGGATAATTTTTTTGTTTACGTTTTCTAAATTATCAGCTGTGATATTTATTTGGATAGTATTTGGAAATATGTCGAAATCGTTGAAATCTTCTAAAAGCTCCAGCTCCCGTGAGGATGAAACCAATTTGATCAACTTTTCCTTTTGCGATCACAAATCCAGCTTCAGACATTTGCTCCAAGGGGATGATAAGTATTTGACTCCTATAGTAGAAGATGAGGCAGATTTTTGGAAGTTCGCCAATAAATATGAAAGCATGCTTAGAAATGCTGGACAACCAATTCTTATTAAGCCCTTGCATGACGCTGATATGTATGATCAAGAAACATTTCACAAACGCAAATATATATCATTGGAATTAGAACGGGGTACCAAATGGGAACAATTAAGACGAGGTTGTCACAGTAGCGACGAAAATATATTTACAAAACTGAGAGCCCGACAGTTCAGAGAAATTGTGCTTACTTATTTGGACTTCAAGCAAAAGGAGAAATTTGGAAAAATTAAACAATTGCGTAAAGCACAAAAATCACTACCAATTTCTCGCTTCAAGCAAAAAATAGAGGAGGAACTGAAGCGAACACGAGTACTGATCATTGCTGGTGACACCGGATGTGGAAAATCCACGCAGGTACCTCAGTTCTTATATGAGTTTGGATATCGTAGCATAGCTTGTACACAGCCACGCCGTTTGGCATGCGTCTCGCTGTCAAAGCGTGTGGCGCATGAAATGCTGGATGACTATGGTTCAAAAGTTGGTTTTCAGATACGATTCGAAAAAAATAAAACCAAGAATACAAATATACTATTCATTACCGAAGGCTTATTATTGAGACAAGTAAGATATATTCGTATGTATTTTCACTTTATTTACGTTTGGTTTAAAATACTTTATCTGCTTTAGTTGGCAGTGGAAACAAATTTAGAGCAATACGATGTTCTCATATTGGATGAAATACACGAACGTAATCTATTTGGCGACTTCTTGTTGGGAGTTACAAAATGCTTGCTGCATGCTAAGCCAGAGCTAAAGCTAATACTTATGTCGGCAACCATAAATGTAAACTTGTTTTACAATTACTTCGAGAATGAAGGGTCTGCGCTAATTGAGGTACCTGGAAGATTATATCCAATAAAAACCATGTTTATGCCTCCTGCAAGTTTGGAATTGAAAGGTGGCGCTGGGGGCAGTAAGAGTTCTTCCAAAAGCTCCAATCGTTTGGATCCAGCACCATACATACAGGTGCTAAGCTTGATAGATCAGAAATATCCGAGTATGTTGGTACAAAATCTTTTCAAAATACTTATCAAATAATAAACTAAATAAAATCAAATTTTAGCCACGGAACGTGGAGACGTACTGATCTTTGTTAGTGGTGTAAACGAAATCGCTATAGTTTGCGATGCAGCCAAGGAATACTCTGAGCAAAATTCCCATTGGATTATATTACCTTTGCACAGTGGTTTGGCTTTAGCTGATCAAGATAAAGTGATACTACTTTGTATTTACATATAAAATGCCGTACAATGTAAGTTTTTTAAATTTATTTTCTTTAGGTTTTCGACTACGCTCCTGAGGGCATGCGTAAATGCATAGTATCCACAAATATTGCTGAAACGTCGCTCACAGTGGATGGTGTGCGTTTTGTTATCGATTCGGGCAAGGTGAAGGAAATGAGTTATGATGCTAGTTGCAAAGGTCAACGACTAAAAGAATTTTGGGTATCGAAATCATCAGCTGAGCAGCGTAAAGGACGTGCTGGCCGTACTGGACCGGGCGTAAGAAATATTAAAAACAACACCTTGTCCAATAATTTATATATTTACATACATCTATATGTATTCTGTAGACCTGCTTCCGTCTCTTCTCAGAGAAGCAATATGCCGCATTCGAAGCGTATCCAACTCCAGAAATCTTCCGTGTTCCGCTAGAAACAATACTTTTGCAAATGATTGCAATGGGATTGCCAAATGTACGCTCATTTCCGTTCATTGAATCCCCGGAAGAGGAATCCATTGAACAAGCCATATGGTCCTTGAAGCAGCATGTGAGGAAATCACACATACTTTCACTTAAGATTTGTTGCCAACTTGTTTTTTCAGAATGCACTAGCTGTTGATGAAAAAATAACACCATTAGGCAGGTCACTTTCAAACTTACCAGTGGAAATAACAATTGGCAAAATGCTGCTCATGGGTTGTGTTTTTCCTGACATTGAAAAAATATTAACTTTAGCAGCCACGATGAGCGTACAAAATCCGTTTACAAATCGCGCCTATACGGATCGCAAGTGTGAGGTGGGTACCAAATAATTTGAAAAAAATTGAATGAAGATAGTAATCCAAAAGTTTGCCAAAAAAATTTAAATATTTATCCTTCGTAGCAAGAAAGAGAGCCTCTGCAATCCGACCAAGGCGACATATTCACGCTTTTGCGGGCTTACAATGAGTGGTTGGAACTTAAATGGAATAATGAAAATACCAGGAAGTGGTGTCATAAACTGGGAATTGAAGAGCAGCGGTATGGTAAAAAAAAAAACATTTAAAGAAAAGGCTTTTCATTTCTTCTCCCTTCTGCAGTTTCTATGAGATCACTAAATTGCGTAACCAATTTCAAAACATTCTCGAAAGTTGTAATATGACATGCAAAAACGAGGATACCACTCAGCTAACAAGCGCTGAACGTGCGCGTCGTCACGGTGAAGTGCGCCAGCTAAGAGCTATGAAGCGTAAACAGAAATATCAGGAGCCTCGGAAACGAAAGATTCTTAAGCATATCAGCTACGGTGGAGATGAAGAGTTCGATGACGCCGCTGCTGGCGATGATATACGTGATGTAGATTTTCGGCTTCAACACGATGCCGGAAAATTAGAAATTCTCTTACACTCTTCCAAAGTGGATAAATTACGCGATGTACTATTGCTGAAGCTAATTATAGTTAGTGGCTTTTATCCACAAATTGCTATCGCCGACGAATTCAACTACTGCAAAAGCGGCAGTCAACAGTTCTTTCACACCTTTCTCAAACCTTTTATATCCATACATCCAAATGCATACTTTGCAAAGTATTATGATGTACTGAAACTTAATGATAGCGACATCTTAGACAAACCAAACTATTATACACCAAAACAGTTGCTTAGTACACGGCATCAGGTGTTGTGCTATCAGTAAGCATTTAGTTTGCAGTGAAGTTACATTTTACATACCTATGAATATTTCATTTATTTATTTTTTTACTGGTAGGAATTTGCTAGAGACGGCAAAGCCTTATTTGATGAATTGTATTCGAATGCCAGCTGCTCAGGCTCTACTCCTATTTTCCTATTCAGTCGATACGAATGCGTCAGTAACACGCATAGTGTGTGATTCATGGTTATGCTTGGAATTTCCTGTGCCTGAAACGGGCTGTGAGCTCCTATGCCGCGCCATCAAACTCCGCAGGCTCTGGGCCAAATTGTTGTCACAAAAACTGACTGGTAAGTTAAAGTAAAAAAAAATGTAATTCTTGTGCAATTTGTTGGTTAGCTTATGCTTTCTATTGTCTGCCGTGTATTCGCATTAGATTTAGTCAACAATGTAGAAAGTCAAAGTATTAAAAAAGAAAAATCCGCCAAGGATGAGGAGGGCGAACTTTGGGAATCGCTCATAGATTTTATGAGTGTCAATGTAAGCTACACAATAAAACGTTTGCTGCCAGCAGATTTGAAATCGCTTTACACGCACATAAAGCTTAATTCTGAGTTATTAAGGAACAATCCATTTGCTTCTGACTATGCGATTAGCGAAAATGATGAAAAAGGTGGTATAAACGTTGCTGAAAATGTGGTATATGGATGGTGGGTTAAATGAATATGTTTATAATTCAAAATATACTCCACCATTTAACACGTTTTCAACTTTGAAATTTAGTCTACAGGAAGTACAATGGACATTAGCAATGGAAGCTGAGATGCGGCAACATACGTGGGTTTGCAAAACTTGTGAAACGGAAATGGCTTTGGACACGATTGAGAAATTATTGCACAAAAAAGGTGAGTCACTTTTAAACTAAATTAAATAAGTTGTTTCGTTTTTTTCTTGTTTTCATTCTCGATGCACTTCTTACAGCTTGCAGCACGGCTACTGCGGCTGCAGTTAAAAAACGCGATGCAGATTCTCCGCCCACTGCCAGCACTTCGAAGTCGGGCAAAGGTAGCGCCTACTTTTGTGAGACATGTCAAAAGGAGCTGCACATTAGTAAAATTGATATTTTGAGACACCGAAAATATTGCAATAGAACTGATCACGAATAGAAAAAAGTGTAGACGAAATGTATACATACATACATATGTATGTACATAGATCACGATCCAGAAAATTATGTATTCTATCATTCTTGTATGTAGATAGTTTTTGCTTGTGTTTATTACTCTCATTACATGGTCAGTTAAGTTAATTCATATACATATATATATTTTTATGTAAATGTTGCTCTTAACACTTAAATGTTAAGCTTATTACATCAGGTAAAATAATTTACATACATGTGGAAGTGATTTACAAAATATGAGATGAGCACATTTAGTTAGTACAATATTTACATATGTATGTATATCGAATTAAGCTTACTTTAACAATTTTCGATTTTTCTTCAAAAGATCGGGAGTCAACTATATAACTCGATTTTAAGTATATACACAACTAAAATATTTGAATTGTTAAAAAATAAAAGTAAACGAATGCGCATAATAATCTTAACCAAAATTTTATCTAGTATTTGTATAATATAAATACATAATATGTCAATAATACATTTTTAGTTTGATGTCAAAGATTTTGTGCAATTTGACTCACTTCAAAATCGAGCTACATAGTTAATTCATTAATATTCTAATATATTCGTCAGTTAAATAACAGTAGCTGCATAGTTTTCTTAACAAGAAATGATACTTAAGCGACTTTATTCGTCTAGAACATACTAGTGTGCATTGTCGAATCGTGCGCCAATCTTAGGCACTCGCGGTGAGCGTTTACGTTTTAGGTGCTAAAAAATAACGGCACCATAAAATTCGGCTAAAATAATGGAGGATAATAATATTTAAATTCTTACCTCGTTTATAGCGTTTTGGCTTTCCGCAGCGATAATAACTGGTATTTCAACAACTTGTGCTTGCGTTTGTTGTTGCTGCGGTGGTATCATATTTGACTCCAACTTTTCCTGCTGGATTTGTAAATTATTGAGCTACATGGGAAGGACAGCCAATTAAACATATTTAACTTTATTTTAAAATCTACTTTATGCTACCTACATTTCTTTGCAGGAGCTCTATATTTGTTGTGCTCACTAATGGACCACTAGATCCACTCATTGGTCTTTGTGGCTGTTGTTGCTGCGCCATGCGCTGTTGTGGCGGAGAAGCTTGATAGGGCGGCTGTGTTTGCTGATGAGAATTACCACGTAATACTTGTAATGGAATGAAAGCGCTTTTCTGGCTCATGCCTTCATTTGCCATGCCATGCCGTATATCAGCTGTCATATGCGGCATCTAAAATTATTCGGTACGTTAACTAGGTTTACATGCTTACTATACCACAAAAATTTAAATAAGTTACTGAAAATGGTGCAGTATGTTGCATTGGATGCGGTTGTAACGGCTGAGGTCTTTGTGGGTAGAAACTACTCATGTTGTTGTATGGTGGTGTTGGCATTGGCTGACAATGTGCCATATTGACGCCGCCATAGTGCATAAGAGCCGCTGACTGCGGCTGCAGAGGCCTAATCGATGTTATCGGATAATGCTGCTGACTGTTGTGGGGTTGTTGCTGAGCCTGCTGCGCATCGCTGCGCCAGCCTGCGGGAGGTTGGGGTAATTGCTTTTTCGACGGTTGGGCTGCTGCGCTGTTGCTTTGCGACAGAATAGTTGCGTTGTTCAGACCAAGTCCAAGTAAACTCTTCAAGGCTTGCGTCTCAGCTTGACACTCATTCCCACCAGCCACACTAGAATTGCTCGTTGCCGCCGAGTTTGGCGAGGAGGGGACCGCGTTGATGCGAGATGCTCTATTTGTATTAGGCGACAGCTGTTGCATTTTTTGACCTTCTCCCGACAAAAGTGGTGCAGGCCTTGTAGAAGATTGTGCCACAATACTATTGATTTTACTTAGAAAATCTCCATTGTTCTTCTCTATGTGGTTGCTTTGAGTATTCACTTGGCGCCATTCTTTTTCTGAGGTATGCTTTACTTTAGTTTCTGCCGCTGGCATCCAGAAATCGTCGTTACAACTGGTACTTCCACCTCCTTGGCGCTTGTTTCCTGTTTGTGTCGGTAGCGAAGTTAGAGGCATTGGTATGCTTTCTTTTTGCTGCAAAATAACTACTTTGCTCTTATTACTGCTGCTTGGCCCATTGAAGTCAGTCGGTTGACTTGGTTGTTGCTGCTGCTGTGCGTCACGCTGTACATTGTTGGTGTTGTTATTTGCAAAATATCTGACGTCGTTTGTGAATTGGTTGTTTCTCACATCTTGCATTTCGTTTTGCTTATTATCTACGATTAAGGATGGAAAGTAAAACGATTGAGAAGTGTCAAAAGCAAGAGTGCAGTGAAGTAAAAAAGTGTACATATCTAAATAAATGCAATGTACAAAAAAATCAAGGCCCACCTTGGGTGAAAATTAGTAACAACGATGATTCCGACACCCTATAAACTCGTTCTTCTGCGATACCGTATTTATCATTGCCACTTGGTAGATGTTTGTCGAAGAGCACTTCGTAGAAAGTATCAACTGCTTTTACGCATTCCAACCGCACGGGATTTGGATCGATTACCGGATATACGCCTATAACTGTGCCCTTTGCACCTAAAGGTACCTATTTATGAAAAAGAATCGCGAAGGGTAAAAAAATTGTTCACAGATTATTTATCACTGTAAAAAATTAGAAAAGTACCCACCATGTAAGTAGTCTTAACTACTACAACGCGGTCAAATAATCTCACAGATCGCTTGGGTTTGTACATGTCTGGCAGCGTTACGTCAGGTTTCAGTAGAAGATGAGGCTTCACTTGTAGCTTTACAGTCTTTACAGGTAAAGTCTTGAAAGAAAAAAGGAACAAAATAAAATGTGGAAAAGAATTATGTATTTTTATATTAAAATATATGCTAAATCATTCCACGCACCTTTAATTGTTCTATAGCGTCAAGCACGCCCTGCACAGCTTCCTTTTCCATAGTTTGTGAGCCACATGAACGTCTATCTGCTTGCATATGCTCCTGGCTGTTTAGCCATGTAATAATTTCATCTACCTTATGTTCTCCAACTTCTTCGGGGAATAAATCTTCTTCAAAACAAAATTCATTACGCTCGGAGGAACGACTTAAATAATCGAAAACCATTGGGAATTTTTCAAAATAAGCTTGCACAAGTGAAATAGCCTTTGTTGAGTAAAACCATTGATTGTTGATGCGTCGGCAGTAGCCAGCACGTTCTTCTTGCTAAAGTAAAAAAAAAATTAAATGTGCATAACTATGTTACCCAAAATTTCTTAATTTTCATACCTGTTTAGGAAACTTGAATTGTAATCCAATATTTACTTTGGACACGTTATCTGGCAGTTGCGCCCGTCTAGCGCCAGCTACTACTAATACCGTGCCAGTCACACGACCAAGACACTTCATCTGCAAGCCAATTGTGGCGGCTGCTTGAAAAGAGTTTACATAGTCACGCTCTAATTGTTGTTGCAATAACTTTGCAGCAGAGAAATCTGGCTCCGGTAAAACTGTAATGTTTACTAAAGCAATGTGGGAAAGAATTTTAATGGATTTTAAACGATGAATTTGAAAATGTTTTTCAGTTTACCTTTTAAGCGGCCACATTCGTACACTAATAGTGGGTTGAGTACAGTTCCTTCACTTCCAAAGTATGGGCTACCCAAGAAAAACACCGTACTGTCGGTTGGAAATAAATTTTCCACTTTTTTCGGTTGCAAAACAAAATTCTTTTGTACGGCGATTTCCGAAACTACCCCCTGAAATGTAGGGAGTTAACTATTTTTTTTTTTATCTACTAAACCCGTCGAATTTACCTGAGCAGGATAAGCTGTCACTGATTGACTCCAGGCATCGTTTACTATAATTTTTCCTTGACTGCCGCAAGTGTACGTGGAGCCGATATATGTACGAACATGCACCAAAACTGTGAAGTCATCAAACTCTATGCCCATGCGAGTTGTGAGACTTAACAAAAAAAATAAGTTTTTGGATATTGTAGAAAATTATCACGTAATAGAGGTGCTGCTTAACTCACTGTTCTTGTGCCGTTTTCATATGTATTTGAAATAATCTTTGTTCCATGTCTTTTACACCATCAACATCAATATATTTTTCTTTGCTGGATATTCCAACGACCTTAGCTTTTATTAAATGTGGCCAGCCAGTGTAAACTACCTGATTCAAAAACTTTTCAGAAACGCTATAGATATCGTCGAAACCGTTGCGATTTTGCGGTTTAAGTATAAGATTTTCATTACGACTTGGGTGCTCGAAAACACGTATACGTGCACACTTTAATTCAAACTATTCAACAAATTTAAAAAATTATCTATGTCATGTGTATCAAACATAAAACAGCGACTTACATTGTATTTTAAATGCTTCATTGTCGGAAATCCAGGGAAGAATACCGTACGTGCTGCATTTGGCAATTCAACACATACAGTCTTATCGGACGGTATAGCGATTTCTTTGGACCAAATCTTCTTTTCGGTACAAAACACATGATATAGTGCTTTCATCGAGAAAATACCTGGAACGCTTTCTTGAGGTTCCGGATTGTAATCGTATTGCATCATTGGACCATGCCTATTTCGTTTTATTTCAGCTGGTGTGAGGTTTTGTTCACAAGCTTTCATGGCATGTAGTAAGAGCTTCTACGAAACATTATATGTAAATATAAATAAAAAATAATTAACTTTTGAGAGGAATGAAGAATATGCCACAAATATTCTTACTTCGTCAATAAAAGGAATTAGGACCACCGCTTCCCACTCGTGTTTTTTACCATTTAAATCGGTTTCAAAGTCTTGTGGATAAAATTCCAGCAGTTCGCTCGTAGGGCTAGTCATTAAATCACGATATGCAGAAGGTAATAGGTCCCTGCTAGCTGCTGGTAGAACGGCCAAGAGCTTCAAAAAATATTTAGTAATTTAAAACAGCAATTCTTTGGAATGTGTGATCGACTACCTGTTCGAATGGCAGGAATGGTTTACCCAGATTAAGTTTAATTTTATAATCCTTGAAGTTTTTCAGGTCACTGATGAATGGTGCGTAATGATGGGGATAATACCAATCCCAAGATTGCACACCTCTATAGTAGTAATCCAAAATCCACTGCAATGCGGTAATATAGCAGATAGCTTGTTCACGTTTTGATTCACTGCAAATTACGAAAATTTAATTCATACAATTGATGGGTGCTGCAAAATCTAAGCTGAGCACCTGTTCATATCATTCTGATTTAATTTATTCATATAATAATGGCGCTTGTAGGTTTCAAACTCGTCAGCTATATGTTGTTCTTCATCCGACAAGTCTTCACTGTCGTCTTCCAAAAACTATGGAGGAGGAGTGTTAAATATTTTTTTATGTAGTTCAGACGCGCTTTACACACCTGTCTACTACTCTCTATTAACTCAGTGAGATCGGTATCCTGATTTCCGTCCGTTATTTCAGCTATATCAAAATCAAACGCTTCATCTATGCCATTTTTCGTTTGTTTACCCTCAAAATATTTCAAATCTGTATGGTTTTCTTGAAATATTTCAAATTCAACATCTGCAAGTGCCGCGAAATATTTTTCCAATCGCTCTAAATTTAGTTTCCCCTGTTCATTTATGTTACCTGTAAATTTAAAAAATATAATTCAAAAGCTATACATATTATTTAAAAAATGTTTACTTTCCTCCAAGTTTTGGGTATACTTTAATGTAGGTTTTATATAATAATGGCAGTGCATTCGATGAAATATGCATACATGGCAAATGCGGTATAAAGTCATTGCCAACTAAAAAACCCATAAGTACCCAATCATCGATAAGATTGGATATGTCAAACTTGTCATCATATTTTTTTAATTCGTCAAACTCCATTTCGAGATATTCACGCAACAATCCCAAATGTAAGAGAAAGAATCGTGTTTCTTCTACAGACGTCTGCTTGGTCTTTCGCCCGAATTTGACTTCTTCACGCAACACTACGAAATGCAATTCATGTGTACATTGTCCTAAAATTATCAAATCTGCATCTAGTCCATAGAGACAGTGGCGTGTGTTGGGATCGTAGTCTTTTTGAGATTTGAGGTAACGAATGTAGTCCATAATTTTATGCTCCCCTTCGCCTGGGGCCTAAATCAAATGCAATAGTTGTAAAATAATATAAAACTGATTTTGAACATGGTGTATATATTTAATGTACTCACATCATGGCCGCTGAGAATAACGCGACACTTTTGCCATAATGGATCTGAACTTATTTTATTCTTTATAAAATAGCGTAGTGCCTCTTGTAGGCGCGTCATAAACTCTGTGCCGGGCGTGATACAATTACTATCGAAGCGTTCATGTTCTCGAACTTCGCCACGACTTTTAGCTTGTGCTTCTAGTAATTCAGCATCTTTAGCTGAGCGAAAGCGCCGGCTGCGTTGTTGATTCATTTTAGCGCGTGGCGCTACACCATCAACGGCCATAAAAAATAATTTTTGTGGCTTGATAAGGAAAAATAATTTATCAATGTAATTGAAAATATCCTTAAACATATTTTCTTCTGTTATAGTGAAGTGAAAGTTTCCGTCATCTGGATGTGAACACGTGTGAATGATTCCGTTCATGTCCAGATAGAGATTGTCAAAATCCGGAATCTAGGAAAGAGTAATAAAAATCAATTAAAAATGGACAAAACATTAAGTTACATTACGTACACATTGCTCTCTTGCCAACTCACTGAGGCAAGGGTAACGTTCGCTGATATAGCGAAAAAATTTTGGTACTCCCATATTTTAGGTTTTTGTTACCGATCAATCTACAAAACGGGTAAAAATTATTACAGGAATTTCAATAGAGTATGTACATACATATAATACTTTTTTGCACTAATCCCCAATCCGGTTTGTTGTTGTGCTTGTTGGAAGTATTTCCACGCTGCAGGGATAAAAACTTACCGAACTGCAGAATTGTAAAACTGCAAATATCCAATATATATAAATCCACTTGAATATGAAAACAAAATAATTGCAAAATATTTTGCAATGTACTCCAAGTAATTTGCTAACAAAACAGTTGTACTCAGCCCGATTTTTGCACCTTTTGTTGCAATGAAAAGCAAATAAAAACGAAAATTTGGCAATTCAATCTAAAGTTCCGTTCGATTGATCGCTAAGCACAGTGTTGTATTTTAGTAACTTAACACCAGCGTTGCCGTTTTCAGTCCGATGGGAGTGTTTCATCTTTTTTAAAGCCTTACATTGGGCTGTATGAATAAAAATAAGCAATTGCTTTTTCTTAAAATTTCAGACCTTTTACTCAATTTAATCAAACAAAATTGGAGTAAAATATATACAATTTTAAGAAAAAGCAATTGCTTAGTTTTTATTCATACGGCCCATTATGTTGCTTCCTCTTTTGCAAAAACTACGATTTTGAGATTATCACAGTAAAATATTTAAGCAAAGGTGCACAATATGCGTTCGCCGGCAAATGCGTCAAGTCTTAAATGCTTTTAGCCGGTCTCGGATTGTTATTATTCGCATTAAAACGCGTCGATTGATACCCCTCTTGAATTTTTTGGTAAATTTTGGCCTGGTTCCGCTGAAGTGCACTTTTACCGAATAAACAAATATTTACATACTTATTTTATTAGTAACTCGCAAAGCAAGTGAGAAAACAATGTGTGACGTTCGTAATTTTGAAGTTTGCTATTCCTGTTTTGCTTCTTTTATTATGTGTATTTTGTCGGTGGTTTATTTCAGTGATTTTTAAGCAATTTTCAATAAATTTTTTGTGCAAATATTATTAAAACGAAGTGCGTGGTGATAGTTTGCAAAAACATGTACAAAAATAATAAATTGGTTAGCACAAACGTGCTACATAATTGCTGGCATTTTTTGCTTTATGCTTCGTCTTCATATTCTTTGATTACTTTTCAAAGGAAATAACATGGCGCCGAAATTACAAACGTCAGCTAGAAAATTACTTTTTTCTTTTGCTTCATCTTGTCAGATCTTGTGAAGTTGGATCATGATAGCGAATACTCTTATTAGGTTTGTTCCACAAGAGCCCGCGGGATTTGAGTATCTACCACACAAGGTCTGAAATCTACCACGTATATGCGTTTTTGAGTAGTTTTACTTTTGCTAACACTAAACACTAACAACTGGCAAGTTTTCGACAGGAAACGTGGTTTTATTGTGTTAAATTGCAAAATATATGATTTATAAAAAGAATTAATACCAAAATATTAAAAAAACGGCGAGTTTTGTGAAAGTATTAGCAAATTTCAGTGCATCTAAAGTTTCTAAAGCGCTGGTTATACCTGCATTGTGCTGCAGCTCGTAACATGAGAATTGCCACATATCGAATCTGTTTAATGAGCTTTGCATATAAGCGATTATCCTACGCAGCGCATAACAGGGCATGGCAGCGAAGTCTGGAGAATTTTGATTTTTCGCTATGTGGTATAAACGTACTAAAAGTTTCAGAAATGTAGGTATTTGCTAATTTTATTAGCCATATAAAAGAAATACACAAAAATCATTGTTTAGAGCTGATTTAGGGCCGGCTGTTCAATGTCTGATTAACACAAATCGAAGGCAGAAGCTCCGGTTAAGCACAACGACTGCTTTATCGATCGCATGTTACATGCATGATGTCGAAATCGTCGATAGTGTAGTGGTAGTGATAACCGGATATTGAACAATCGATCCTTATTGATTCCGGGCACAAAATGTAGTTTTTTTAAGTTCCTCACGCTCTGGGCACTATTGGCACGTGTTGACACATTTATGACACTTGTTATAGAGTAACATATTTTTACGCTCATGTAGAATTCAGTTGGGTTTTGAGTTTTACGTTGAAAATGGTATAGCAGTGCAAGCATGCGTAACCGGGCTATAATTACCAAAACAGCCCGGAAAACGTGTGGAACAAAGCTATTGTAGGATATTTCATACGTCATCTTTCTTCATAAACAAAAATCTTAATTTTGAACATATTTTCAGTGTAACATTTTGGTTTAAAAAATTTTTTTTTTTTAAATTATTTTTAATAAAAAACAGCCCAAAATTTTTAAAATTGAAGAAAAATCGGCACTTATGGCATCGCTGTATTTTGCACAAAGTATACCGTCAACTCGTGATCCACACGTGTGGACTTCAATTTCGGAATGTCAAATAGTGTTGCTTTTTTCGCTGTCTGCATATTTTTTCCAGCGATTAATTAGAAAAAGTCTGTAAACAAAAAATAAATAATTTTTCCTTAATTTGGCAAGCAAGTGTAAAATTCACTGTTGTTTCTATATTAATTATGATATACGGAGATCGAAAGGCCAAATTTTCGAATAAAAAACATGCTCCGACGCGAGCAACGCCTTCGGTGAATAGCAGCGGAGGAGCAGCGCCCAAGCCCCACTGTTAACCCAACCCAAAAGAAAAAAATGGAAGCTTCGTCGGGTTGTAAAGTGTCATAGATTGAACTAAAATAAATTATAAACAATAAAAGTGTAAGAAAGACACTCATTACTTAAGTAGAAAGTGGTACAGCGGCCGGTAAATAAAGAATTTAGGCACTTATCGAATTTACGAAACACACAAACACACAACAAAATGGACGCAGATAAGAATAGTCATGAAACAAAAGTCATCTATCACATTGATGACGAGACTACCCCATATTTGGTGAAAATTCCCATACCCTCGGCGCAAGTGACACTGAAAGACTTCAAAATGGTGCTCAACAAACAAAATAACAACTACAAATATTTCTTCAAATCTATGGATGCAGATTTTGGTGTCGTAAAAGAAGAGATTGCCGATGATTCTACGATACTTCCCTGTTTCAATGGACGAGTAGTTTCTTGGCTGGTTTCGGCCGACGGTACAAATCAATCTGATAACTGTTCGGAATTGCCGGCCAGTGAGTGCGAGGTGCGTCCAACTATGCGTGGTGCTCAACAGCAGAAGATGGGAGGCGGCGGAGTTGGTGGTATGATGGGAGTAGGCATGTCGGCTATGGGTATTGGTGGTGGTGGGGGCGCGGGAGTGGGCGTGGGTATGGCGAATACGGGTGTCATAACAAATCCGATGATGCAGCATCCTCTTACATATCAGTCTGCTTCTGTGCTGTCTAGTGACTTGGATTCGACTAGTTTGTTTGGCACCGAATCTGAAATCACCCTTGATCGCGACATGACCGACTACAGCAGCGTGCAAAGATTACAGGTGCGTAAGAAACCCCAACGCCGTAAAAAACGAGCTCCTAGCATGTCACGTACATCCAGTTATTCATCGATAACTGATTCAACAATGTCATTGAATATCATAACTGTGTCCATTAACATGGAGGCAGTTAATTTTCTGGGCATTTCGATTGTGGGCCAGTCGAATCGCGGCGGTGATGGTGGTATCTATGTAGGGAGCATAATGAAAGGCGGAGCTGTGGCGTTAGATGGGCGCATAGAACCAGGCGATATGATACTTCAAGTCAATGAAGTTAACTTCGAGAACATGACCAATGATGAGGCTGTGCGCGTGCTGCGTGAGGTTGTGCAGAAGCCTGGACCAATAAAATTAGTAGTTGCTAAGTGCTGGGATCCAAATCCAAAAGGATACTTCACTATACCACGAACAGAGCCGGTACGACCCATCGATCCCGGCGCATGGGTGGCACACACTCAAGCATTGACTGCACATGATAGTATTATACCCGATATACCAGAACCGATCAAGGAGCGACTAGATCAAAACAATTTGGAAGAAATTGTAAAGGCCATGACAAAGCCCGATAGTGGTTTAGAAATAAGAGATCGAATGTGGTTAAAAATAACCATACCTAATGCATTTATTGGCGCTGACGCTGTAAATTGGGTGCTAGAGAATGTGGAGGATGTGCAAGACCGACGCGAGGCACGTCGCATTGTCTCTGCAATGTTGCGCAACAATTATATTAAACATACTGTTAACAAGTTGACATTTTCTGAGCAGTGCTATTATGTGGTCAATGACGATCGTAATACCAATTGTCGTTCCAACATTAGTCGCGCTGATACGGAAAGCATTACCAGCGACATTGGTCCACTGCCGAACCCCCCTATCTACATGCCATACTCAGCCACCTATAATCCCAGTCACGGTTATCAGCCCATACAATATGGATTAACAGAGCGACACATCTCGTCTGGTTCGAGTAGCTCAGATGTGTTGACGAGCAAGGATATATCAGCATCGCAGAGCGACATCACATCGGTTATACATCAGACCAATCAGATGACCATACAACATGGCTCAAACAAATCTTCCGGTTCGTCGAATCGTGGCACCAACGAACAGGATGCGTCGGTTTTTAATTACGTACTGTAGAAATTGCAATGAAATTGTGTTTATTCTTTTTATATACAAGTACATACACACATAATTATACATAAATACATTACATGCATACATACATAATTTTGGATAAAATTTGGAGAATTTAGTAACCACAATGATAATAAAAATAATTAAATACAATATAACGATAATCAAAAAAATTAAATAAAAAAATAAAAAAAAATAGAAGCGGTTTATCATTTGCCATTCTTTACGGAGATTTAACATAACTAACGTAGGTACTAAGTGGAAGTTAAGTATGGATAAAATGGACTTTTAGATGCATAATATTCAAAATTTTGGTAATTGCTTTTAAATTTCATTAGTAATCTACTGACTTTTTACAAAAGGTTGATTTTCAAAATATGTCCGATAGGGTATTCTATAACTATTATGTAGTATGTAGTATATTTATTTATGGTAACGCTATATTAATATGGAGGCCCATGAACAGAATTGCAGCACGAAGGTCATGCGTCAGGGTGTTAGATTGCATTCATGTAAGCGTTTAAAATTTTCGTTAGGCCATAGCAAGGTTGGGCCATAGGAAGCTTGACAATCAATCTTTAAAAAGCTGTGTAATACAAAGTGGTATGCAATTTTTTGATTATTTAATTAATATTTTCGTGGTACCAATTTCCAGGTTCTCGCATTTGTTTTGCAGCTTCTGGATCTCGTATTAGCTTTGTGGGATAATAAATAAGGGATCAAACCCGGAGCGATGCGTGAGCTATTTTAGCCGACAGTTTATGCTGCATCCTCCGGCGGACAAAGTCAAACGGCGAGTGACCAGAAGACTGCACAAACTGCCAAAGTTAGTGCGCTTCTTGTTGACACCAGCGTTGAAGTTTGGGTAGCCATCGGGAAGGCGAAAGCCTCCAAAGCCATAGAAGCCGACAGAATGCTGATGTTGAAAAACTTGGGTCTTATTGTCCGATAACTCTCCTTTCCCCAGCAGCGAAGACACTTGAGACCCTGCTATTCCCGCACTACACGAACCACCTGACTGTATCGGGACATCAACATGGGTTCCACAAAGAGCACAGTATGCCAACATCACTTAACCCTCACTCACATTCAGATAACTCTTGGCCTAAACCGTAACCGCCCCTCTGAGAGCGTTGATGATATTTAGGCTTCCTCTCTCCCAAGAGGACTCAAACGGTGGTCGACGAATTATCAGAGTGGTCGATATTCGTCAGTCATTTTTAGAGACAACCAGCAAACTGAGAAAAATTAAAGGGTGTTCCACAGAATTGTGTCTTTTCCTCGCTGCTGTTTAATTACTATACATTAAAGCTCCCTCAACCAACATGGGAGTGTCGATTGTCTCTTATGCTGGCGACTGCTCGATAATGGCGTCTGCGAATGGAATTGATGACTTGTGCTCGAAAGTAAACGGCTACCTCTCCGAACTTTCTCGCTTCTTCACTGCAAGGAGCCTAACCCTCTCCCCTACGAAATCCTGGGCAATCCTCTTTACAACTTGGATGATGGAGGTCAGACTGCAGCTGGGTATTCACGTCGATGGCAAACCAATTCCGACAGTGACAACCCGAAAATCGTGGAGTTACCTTCTGATGTTGCCTCAACACCACCTGCACTACGAGGACCAGATGCTCCCCATTAAGGAACATAACACAATTATCTGCAAGCAGTTCCTAGTAGGGCGCCACAGACGCACAGGGAGCCGGTCCTGAGTTATATAGACTCTTGACCTATGAATGCCGTTTTGGGCACACAACCACCCGACGTGGACAGGACAGAACTTTGTCTGGCTCGGGAGACTCGCACCACAATAGCCCAACTGCGCTCTGGATATTGCAGCAGGCTACACTCGAATCTCAGCAAAGTGAACGAAGATGTGGCCCAACGAGTGCCGGCATGCGGAGAGTCGCCACATGACTCACGGCACCTCTTCGCATGCCCCCGAAACCCCACCCAGCTAACGCCCCTGTCCCTATGGGCAGACACTATGGAAGTTTCGCCCTTCCCGGGCCTCCATCTAGTTGTGCCAGACGACAACTTTTACGGATGAGCCGACCCGAGCGGGGATTAGTAGCCGTTACAACAACAACAACTACAAATGTGGTATTCTCTCCCCATAATGCGTTACTTTTATATCTCGTAGGTTCCTCAGGAGGGAGTTTCCTTGATCTCAAATGCTCACGACTGCTCCACACTGGCGTCCGGGATGAATTCTGCTCGAAAGTAAATGACCGCACACTCAACCGCAATTATCAATAAAGTAGAGAGCCGCAACAAGGTCCTCAAGTCTCTCACCGGCAGTACCTGGGCTGCAAACTTATCAGAACGCCGCACTGCCACAGACGTGAGCACCCCAACAGGCCCTTACTGGAGGAAGAGGTCCGTCCAGGCACGTCAGAAGGCATACATATTTGTGAATATATGAACGTGGTCCAGATCTCCTTCCAACAACCTCTGGACCCGACGAGAGATCAACGGTATTCATAGAGAGTTGGTCTCCATCTACCACGACTCTTGGCTTATAAATAACGTCATTGGAGCCCAATTCCCACACTTTGGAGACACAGAGCTTCTAATGCCACGGGAAACCCGATTTACTCTGGCCCAATTACGGTCTTGATATTGCAGTCGCTTAAACAGCTACTTATCAAGACTCGATCCCGATATCACCAATGAGTGTCCGGCATGCGGAGTCTCTCCCCATGACACCAATCACTTCCTCACAGATCAGCTCATTCCTAGTCATCTAACGCCCCTCTCCTTTGGTGGTGCCGCTGCAACAACAACAATGAGCGTAAGAGGACTGCCTTCCGGCGATTTTTACAAAAAACACCCATTGTACCCTGTGTTCGCGGGTTAGTTTGTGTGCAGGTCTTACGGTCACAGTATTATAGCGTCAACTTGGACGGATTGACCATGTGATCCCGGACGCACTTTGGAACGAACTTCGAAGCCACCATAGAGGTCAAAGAAAGGCTGGCGTGAAGGCATGCGGAGTGCTGGCTCGGTGAATATGGATCCAATATGGGGAAAGACGTAGGGGCGGCAGTTGTATGCTCGGAGTTCCACCTAAACAAATCTTATAAGCTGCTAAACTATTGCAGCATTTTACGGACGGAGGAATTAATCATAGGGAGCTGCGGAGTGCAGGGCAGCTCTGAATGTGCTACATACCAATAATGACGTACATCTGTACTGCGTTCCGGGGCACATCGGCTTGGCGGGCAACGGGAATGCCGACAGGCTTGCCACAGAGGGTACTTTGTCGGAAACCATGCTGATAGGGGAGGTACCGATTTTCCTCCAAGCGATTAAACGGGAACTCGACCTGTGCATGTTCCGGAAGGTGCAGAAGGCGTTGAACAAAACGAAAGCTGCAGGGTGTCCAGGGTTACGTGCAGAGCGTATGATATGAAGCTGAAGATGTTTCTCCTTTCTCTCAAGATGAAGGACATTAGGCCACTGGTGAGTGTTCTAACTGGTACTCACGCCTTTAAACTGGCTCTGACTAACGCTAAGATCTGTAGAAGATGCAGAACGTAGGAGAAGACAGCGGAGCATATCCTCTCCGAGAGTTCTGCCCTTAGCAGACTGCGGGGTAGTCTACGGGGAGCAGGCTTTCTACCTCAATCTGCCGCCAAGGACTGCGGTGTTCTTCGACATTGCTCCTGGTGCGCAGTAATTAGGAACTTAGTTGCGCAAATAAGGCATTTCCATCAGTTCAAAAATAAAACAGACTGATTCTTTGGCTTAATGCATCTCTGAACACAGCCGTACTCTCGTCGCCGTTTATGTACAATATTATCAATCTTGCGGCAATCTTGCTGAAATAATTAAGTCCAACGAACTCAAGCAGTGCATATCTAACGCTGTTATTGATCTTAAGATATATACATAGATAGATATTAGTTGAGGAATGTATGCACTGCGAGCCGGAGATCTATTGTACCCTTTTACTCCTTACAACAACTCGCTCCCTCTTAAGTCCTTCAGGAGATCCGAAAGTTTTTTTTGGTGACATCGAGTGTATGTGATGAGCTTAATGATCTGAAATGTTTCTCTCGTTTTCTCGTCACGGCGTCGTATTCGATGAGTTTCAGCTGCATTGTCACATAACCGGCATACATCGTTGGACCAGATCCCAAGTTTATGAAGGTGGCATTTTAATCTGCAATGACCTGTTAAGATACCTGTTAGAATTATTAGTTTATGCTTTGGAAGGCTAAAAAGTTTCTCATATCTTTTCTATTGTATCCGCCCAGTAACTTCTTTGCTTGGTTCCAGTGGTATTTTCTACTATTTAGTTCTCTATTTTCTCTTATGGGGTGTGTGGTCCTACCGCAAAGAAGGGCTTGAGGCATATCGGTGTAGCTGCTGCCACCCTTAGCTCGCTCTCATTCCTGTCGTGTAATTCAAGCTTGCGCATGTCAAGTCCCTCCATCAGCTCTAACTCGTTGGAATACTTCCAAAGACGGCCGCTGGTTGCATACTTTCTGCGCTGGGTGTGATGATGCTCTCAGGTGGGATCGGCTTAGCTTTTTGTGTAGTGTCAAGCTTTTCCAACAACAAAACATGCGCTAGACTGCTACGTAGCAATTTTATTTGCATCTTAAGAAATGCAGTTCATTCTCCGAAACCAGGCAGCGTGGGCGGAGAAATGTGCAGTTGAGCTTCTGGCTATGCAGTTAAAGTTGCTCGACCATAACCAATTCCTACTCTTGCGTCAGCGTTCGTGCATCCTGTGCAATGTGAGCAATCCAGATGCGAGATGTGGTAACTGGCCTGTGCGTTACCTTGGGTCACGACAGAAAGAGATGGAGCTTTAATTTAGGGGGTCACCGAAGACTGCAGCTGCAATTGGGTGTCTGTCTTGGAGCATGCGAATCGCTTCATAAAAGTATCTTTAAACATTTCTCCAGTTTTGGTTGTACGCCGGGTATGGGACCTGGCACGCAAAAAGCGAGAGTCAAAGTGAGATACTTCAACATCGCTCTCATTTTCGCATACGCCTACGACAGAAGACACACAGGAACACACATAAGAGTGCTTCCCTCGTCACGATATCAAACTCGTTCTCGGCGATTTTAATGACAGAGTGAACAAGGAATGCATTTTTGGTTCCACCGTCGGAAAATTCAACCTCCACGACGAAACATCCGATAATATACGGAGGCTGATCGATTTCGCTGGTGCCCAAAATATTGTAGTATGTGGAACTGGGGTTCTAGCATAAAGAGATCGATCCAGCTGTCTCCAGATCGAAAAACGGGAAACTAAAACGACCATAAAGTGTTTTAAATTTACGTACACAACGAGTGAAAAACATCGACTCGGATCATTATTTTGTTAAAGCTAAGTTACATCCACGCCTATGTGCAGCGTCCAGTATTGTAAGGAAAGCTGAACGTCGGAAAGTTGAATTTACAATGGAACGCCAATATCATCGCCACATCATACACATACCTGCTCTCAGAGAGAGAGAGAGAGAGGGAGAATGAGATTTCAAAACCAGTGCGAACTTTTGTAAATTATAGATATACTACTTTTTACACTGTTGAATGGTATTTATCAGTACTGAAACCAGTGGAGAATATGAACCTGAGCCCCCAATGCTTAACAATGTGGCTTTAGGAATTAAAAATTGATTTTACTTTATTTGACGGTTAGCAAAGTTTTATTACCCGCGCAGAATATAGTACCTGTTAATAGAAACTAACAGCACGGCATTAGCAAAGCAATTACCCTAAGCTGAAAGTGCTATAGTTATTTGTCGGAGTGTATGCTTGCATAAGAGTTTATCAATAGTTACGTCAAATATGATTGTATAAAGTTCCATTATATTTACTAGCAGGCGAATCGAACGAACATATCCACAATTGTTGACAAACTTTTCATTGATTATCTTTTCTCTGGAGACGTTTTGATTTTTGGCAAGAGTCTAGTGAAGATTTTGCTCCAGCAGCTCCAACTTTGAATATGATGCTGCTTCAATTGTTAGCATTTTTTATATACTTGTTTGTTATTTTAACTGATTAACGCCTTCTTGATGGATCGCATCGAGCTTTTTGTATGAGCCTACACGTACATATGTATGTACATACATACATATATATCCATATACTAACAATACAGTTGGCTACTAGTTAATAGAGAAGATCTACGTATTCTGTCGTCATTTCAAACTGAGTATTTGAGATCGCAGGTCGTGACGAGATTTTTGAGTGCTAACATAGAATTTTGTTTGGGATTAAAGAAAAAAATTTTACAATTTGGCTGTGCTACTGCAATTTATAGCAGTTGTTGAAATAACACATGTACCTAAATATATATATTTGCATTTTGATATGAATTTTAAAATGAAAGAGCTTTTAGTGCTTGCATTCGCCTATGTGCCTTTTTGTGCTGGCACAATACGTCCAAGCGATGCGTTGACGGTAATGGCGGGTGAAGGTTTCACAGTATATTTAGAGTTGCCAAAGATGTTTGGTGCAGTAGAGAATTGTTGGTATAAATTTGAAGGTAGGAAAAATTTATCAGTTCCTTTCATTTCTATATTCAAAAATTTCTAATACTCTACATCTTCCATCTACAGGTGATGCGAAAGTTAATATCGATTTAAAAAATTCCGTTGAAGCCATTCTAACGACACGTGGCGAAGAAGTGTTGCCCTTTTCCAACCACAGATGCGGCATACGTGTAAATAAATTATCCTCCGCATCAGCTGGAATGTGGACGTTGGAAGCTGAAAATGCCTTTGGCGACTACGAACAAGGAGACTTGAAAGTATCAATACTTTCTATGCAGAAGAAATATCTAAATACCAGCGTTCAATTGGCCATTGGTGATGGCACCATTTCATGTACTCTACCAGCGTCAGCTAAAACGCAATGTAAAATCATTGATTACAATAATAAAGACGAAGTTTGGAATTCGTGCAATATTTACACGCATATTCGGCCGAATCGAACATTCGTTTGTTATACGCACAATTTGGGCACTATGACACAAAGTATTGAGCACATAACTGTACAAGCTAAGAATAGTAGCATGTATACGACGGCCACTGTAACGGAAGGAGATGACGAGGTAGTGATGCGCTGTCAACTCAATAGCGTGGTACATGGTTGCCAGGTAGAAATGCCGGGACGTAAGAAGGAGTTATACATTATGGAGGGATTGTTTAATGGACGCTATTCGGCATATGATACATTGTGAGTGTGTTTTTAACTTGCATGCCTGTGTTTAAAATTTTTTGTTTGGAAAATTTAGACTAAAGCTTGAAAGTTTTCTACTTAGTTTCACTCGTAAAGTACATATAGTATATAACGATTCAGGGACTTAATTGCGTCCTCTCCAAATTGCCAGATGCGATAGCTGACATGTAACAAAACAAACGGAAATAACGCATACTGGTGCGAAATAAAGTCAATTGGTATTATTACCTTTTTAAAAGCGAAATAAAATCCGTTGACATTAACAAACATTGAATTTGCTTAGCCTCGCGGCGGTCCGTGAAAGTGGAAACACTTACAAAAAAAATCAAGTTACTAATGAAGAAAATCCATGGATAAGGAAAGAAGTGGTCAAATAAAAAAGCGCAAAGATTTTTTGTATTGAATACAAAACTTTATTATATTAAAATTTAATGATCTATATAACTACATACCAAATTTTTTTTATAAAAACCAAAACAAAAAAAAGAATATTTTGGTGAACATTTTTTTATAACCTTAAATTTTTTTCTTTCGTTTTGGGAGACCCTACAATTGTTTTCAAATAGTTTTTATTATGTAACATTTCTTAACTGGAACAGGAGAATCGAGTTTCTTCTGAATTGCAACATTTTCCGCACTTCGCACTAAAATATTAATACAAACAAACAAATTTAAAAAATGAATTGGTCTCTTGCAAATTTTATTAGCTTTCTTTAAAAAAATAATAAATTAAATTTTAGTATTTAACGATCTATAAAACTGCATACCCAACATTTTTCTAGAGACTCAATTTTTTTTTCAATTTTGGTGAACATTTTTCATAAAACGTTTAAAGTTTTTTTCTCATCCTATTATTCCGATTCAACCAGTTTGTGGGTGAATTTACTGGACCTCAGCTTCAGGTGCCAAATGTCTCATACTCATTCTTTGAGAGCATGTGCCTGGAGCCAACAGAGGTTCACACATCCGCAATGTCCGGAACCAAAATTGGCAAAAAAATTTAATAAGTCGCTGTAGTGTATCCAAAAGTGTGATATATGTACATTTTTTGGTAGTCTAGGGAGTTGGTCTACTTCACCGGGTACCGTTTTTTTTTGGTTTTGTATGTGAAGCCTTTTCAAGATAGAAATACACTTGAAGGTTTACCATTACTTGCTCAGAACTGTTCGGCTGTTTGTGCTACCGGCTATCGAACTTAGGTTCTAGCGGGTGGTAGTGCACACCTCTAATCACTAGGGCTCCGAATTGGTAAGATAAGGGTTAAGCTGAAATATTCGTATAAATGATTTTATCCGCCTTCTTGTTAATACACACGTTCCCTGACATTGCAGGTATTCGAAGCAGCGTTGTGCGCTAGCAGTCCCCACGCCTCTAGCTGAGTCAGAGTTGGGTTTGTGGCGTATTTACAACACTGAAACAACACCTCCAACGGGTTGTCTCTTCTACATTGGGAAACGAAAAGACCAAATAATGGCTGACGAACTAATTGCTTCAAATGAGGTAAAGCAAATACGTGCTTACGATGTAGATACTACCATAGAGCTATTTACGTGCGAAGTGCCCTTCATCATAGACGATTGCTATTTGCGCGATCCAAATACTACAGTTTACTTTCCGGATCCCATACGATTTGAGCGTACACGCACATACGGCCAATGCCACTTCACCAATATGCCAGTAATGGCTGGCAGCTGGGTATGTGGCGCGCGTGGACATGACTACGCTAAGGAAGTGTTGCAGAATTTCGAAGTTAGTACCCTCTCAATTTATTTGTGTATCTTTATGAATTAATAGTCATTCCATTTGCTGCATTTTAGGTTGTAGTAAAACCGAAAGCCGGCGAAGTTTTCACTGAATCGTTGAAGCTGAAACAAGGCAAGGCGGCCGAGCTGATGTGTCAGAGTGCTTTCGAGGAACCGCTTACACATTGCGCATTCATTGATCCTGAAGGTCGGGTACATTTGGTCGGCACAGCTAATAGCATTAAGACTGCGGGGTAATATTTTAATGCGCTATTATCTACTAGCTTAATTCTAATACTACATGTTGTCCGTACGTTTCGTCGCTTGCAGCCACGTTAAGTACTACGGACGCGGATTGCTGTGGGGTGAATGTGGCGCACAGATAAGTGAAACTAAAAGTGAGGATTTTGGCACGTGGAAATGTCAATTTGTCACCTATGCCGACAAACGCACATCGATATTTGCATTGCGGCTGCGTCAAACCGGTAGGCGGCCATACAAAAGAAAACTTTAAGGTTCTTCAAATGAGAAGCATTTTCCACTCATTGTGCTTTTCTTTCTTTTTATTATTAATTGCTTAATTTTTCCATAGTTATTCCTGCATCATCACTTGGACTTGGCATTGGTATAACGATTATAATTGTGCTGCTTTTGGGTTTATTGATAGCTACAGTATTCTACCGACGCCGCAATCTTACAGCGCAGCATAGTTTTACTTCAGAAGATCCAATAAATACGGTGTCGAGTAGCTCATTGGCAATGACAGCGATTGAGACTTTGGAGCAGCCAATTATCGAGCGATTGTAAGGAGTGAATGTGTTATAGGAAACTCATTTGTTCTATTCTATTTTATATGAGTGGCCATACTTAGTTGATTTTGAAATTTATTGTTATTCAATTGTTTATCCGTTGTGTATAGGTTTATGTATGTATGTACTATATGCACACACATTGTTTGCATGGTGTATTGTGTTCATGACTTTGGTATTAAAATTTATAAAATATGAAGTAATGGTTTTTGGAATTATTTAGTTACAGCAAACTTTTTGGAGCAAAATGCATGCATACTATGCAGTTGACGGGGAGAGCTTGGCAATACTAATTCCTTTTTGAGTTGAGCAAATCATACCAGAACTTCTGATCATTGACGATCACATATGTAGATATTTTAGTCTACACCAAGGCATATCAAACCGGTTGTAGTATTAGAGCAAAAACAACATTTACGTGTATTTTTTTTGTTGTTTCTAATATATAAAAAGCTCTACCCAGAATTGCACTGGACGACGGTAGAGCGGTCGAAGGTTAACCGCTGTCAAAACCAAAACTCACGAGGACATATGGATGGCTCAAAATTGCGGCGGCAGTGTTTTTACCGCCGTCGTTTTTCGGTTGATTTAAATTTTTTCCTAGTTTTACGGCCAGCCAGATTTTGCCATTTGCTTTATTTTCTTAAAATTTAAATACTACAGCGTGGCGACGAATAACTGTTACCCAGGTTTTTTTGAGAAATAAAAGGGTAATTTATAGATTTTGCGAAAAAAATATTTTATTGTTAATTTTCCACAGATTTTACTTTAGTTGCATTAATTAGTTTTTAAATTTAAATCCTTATTTACATTTGCCAGCAGTGTAAACTTTGAGATATTTGGATTTATTTGGTTTTTGTTAGGAAAGGAGCTTTACTTTTATAAGAAAATAATAAACAAAAGTCCTAATTTATATTTTGGTCATTGTATGTGTTCCTCACTTCGAATTCCAGGCATCTAGATTGGAAAATAATAACTGTTTATGAAGAAAATTGCAATCATATACCAACATCATTTAAAACTGGTTCATAGGCGTGCCATTTTAATGAGCTGTTAAGGCGTTTGTTAGTTTGACTCCCGTAATTTTATGTTTCATAAAATTTATTTATTAGATAATTAAATGAGACTCTCAAACAGCTGGCAGCCTTCTTCAAAAGTATTTTCAAGCTAAACTTTGTTAACTCTCATTAAAACATTGCGATACATATTTTAATTAACTGATGAATTAAGCTGAATTTGGTTTTTTAGACATGTGGCAACCCCGCTAAGTATAGTCCAGAAATAAAGATTTTTCAAACCCCTTTCCATTGATATCCATATTTTAATAATTCATTTAACTTATTAAATAATTTGAATTTAACTTTTTAAGCAGTTGGCAACACCTCAAAAATATTCTCTGTTCAAACTAAAGACTTTTTAACATTCTTTTGTTTGACATCCATATTTTGATATCTATATATATAAAATTCAAATTATGTATGTACCTA